CCACCCACCCCCCCACGGCCGGCGGCAGCTGTAGGGACGGAAGGGATGGGTCGCGATGGACGAGTTTTGCGCTGCGTTACGCGCGCGCTTGCGAAAACGTGAACACAGGCGCCTGCAGCGTTGTAGGTTCCTCGGGATATGGATCTCAGGCGGCAAGCGGAAGCAGGATGGAAGGCAAAGGGAGGCGTGCTCATGTTTTTGCACGCCTTTAGTGTTAGATCATTGACCACGCGTAGGATGGAACACGGCGAAAGACGGGGTTGGGGGGGGTTATGCATGATGACCAAACAGATCTAATGAAAGGAAGTGGTCAAATCAGGAATTTGGGTCCATTGGTACCCACTACAAGAGTCGTTCCTCGGACCGTGGATGTGTGTTTTTGTTGTCAGGGGGGTGGGGCGGGATTGCGACGGCGATGATTGATACTTTCATTCCGTTGCTGGTGATGGTGAGATGGTGGAATTTCTGAGATCATCGTCTTGTTTTTCTTTTCTTCGCCACCCCCCTCGATCAATCCAGGTCCCAAGCATCATATAGTTCTATTAATGCCAGTTGAATTTGTTGTGTTCCGAACCTTGATCTGGTGTTGCTGGTGGTTGTCTCTTTTCTCTTTTAAGGTTGTTTTGCCTTGTTTTTTGTTTTTAGGCAAAGGCGCACCACCCACCAATGGGGGGGGGCTCCATCTCGACGAATGGTATCAGCCCGCTACATATACTGGGTACACAGCACCGGTCCCCGGTGGTCTAGTGGGTAGCCCCGCAGCCTGTCAAGAGCCAGGTCATGCGTCCGAGTCCGGGCAGAGTGAGCTTTTTTCTCGCTAATTAAATCCTGGTCTCCGTTGGAAGCGATGCGCTGCAAAGCTCGTCGTTAGTAAACTTGATCGAGTTTATGAGTCGCGAGGGAAGGAATTGCTGTATCCTTCTCGTGATAAAAATATCTCAGGCAGGAACCGCAGGAGGGGGTCCAACCCCCCCCTCCTATGTGACCCCGGTTGGGTCGTCTAGCTGGTCGAAGTGGAGGATAGGGGCCAGAGGGGAGAGGCGACAGAGTCTAATGATGGGAGCAATATATATACATATATACTGAGTATGGTGAATAGAAAAGCCATGTCCTCGATGTTGTGTACGGAACTCGTGTGTGTTTGGGGGGGGAAGACACATGAATGACTTTATTGGAATCCTGCAGCGAGTCTCTGCAGCATATGCAGCAGGGGAACGGGCGGAGTTTGGAGGGGGGGGGGGNGGGGGGGGGGGGGGGGGGGGGGGGGGGGGGGGGGGGGGGGGGGGGGGGGGGGGGGGGGGGGGGGGGGGGGCGCTCGGACATCAACGGTTTCGCCGCACCCCTTCCTTCGTATTGCAAGCTTGCACCCCTCCCTCCGTATATTCAGGTTAGGTTACTAATTGAGGCATACACGATGCAGTGCTGTTTGCCGAGTGACACGACGTGTTGTCGGTTTGCCTCTGGGACACCTGCTGTCTTGGATTATCGTTTGCGGGAAGGAACCGCGCACGCATCCACGTGAATGATGTGTGTGGCGTCGTGATGAAAAATCTCGAGAAATTCATTCATCAGTGAAGTGGCAAGGAACATCTTCTTCACATGTTCCAAACGAAACGTTGGCAGCAGAGACGGTGGTCGCAGAGAGGAGCTTCCACCAACACCAGCATCCACAGGTGACACATGGCCTGCGGAGGAGAGGGCAAATCCGAACAAATCAAGGCGAGTGTTTTTGTAGTAGAGCCTGTCGCCAACAAGGAAAAAGCGCCCCATATTCATTCGTCCGGTATAAAATCACCCAATTATGACGTCGACCGGTTGCAGAATGCGCTCTACTGCAAGAGTCAGCATGAGCAAGGCGGCAATAAGCACGAAGGATAGGATTTTGGGGAGAGAGCACGAGCACCAGGAAGAAAGCGAGGTACCCCCCCTCGCTCCTTATTCATAATTCGCAGCATATGTAGGGGGGGTCATAATCCCATTGGGAGGGCCGCTGGGTACGATCTATGTACAACAGCGCGAAGTCGATCAGTACGTGTGTAGTGCTTGCTCAGTCGATCAGTGCTTGTGCTGTCTACACGGAGCGGCCATGGCAACAGCCGAAGGCGGATCCTCACGGGTGACGCCGCCAGATGCTGGTGATGTGATCGAGATCGACAAGAAGTTGGTGGGTGCTCCTCAAGAGGAAACAAACTTAATGGACACACACAGCACACACGCGGTGCCGCGAGAGACAGGCAGCAAACACAATTTCATGTCTGCGAGGCAGGCTACTCTCATGCCGTTATAGCAGGGTAGTCGTAGTATCAGCAGCTATGTTTACTCCGTACGTGCGCCGATGGGTAATAGACACGGCTGTGCGTGTGACAGACCGGGATTATTGTGGGACGACGTTTTGAATCGCCAAAGTGTCCTCCCGCACACTCTGCCCGAGTTGCGGGGTCTCTCTCTGTGAGTGCACCGCCCAACCATTGAACATTTGAACAACCTGAAAGGTCACGGTTCGACTGGTGTATATCTCAACACCTCGACCTTGAGTCACGCCCGCTGTCTGTAGAAGACGGGTGTGAAACTCTGCCGCTGTGGTGTTTGAACGTGTTATATGGAAAGCCCAGAGCACCCATTCAGCAGTAGCGCCACATGTCCTTGGCAAGAGAGGTGTGCTGTTTGTGTTTGTGTTTTTTGTGTTGGGTCATGGATACGTCAAGGACAAGATTGAACCCCCAAATTGCCCCGCGTTCCCTGTCATTTGGGCTTTTGGGGCATGATCTATCTTATAGAGCCCAAAGGCAGGGAGTTCGCGAACTTCCCACGGAGCCACAGCTGTTGGCATGAAGTTCGAAGTATCCCGCTGATGACGACTTCCAGTTCGTTCATGTCCGTTGAAGAAGGAGTGTGTTTGAATTTGAGTTCGATTTTCGCGGGGGGGGGGGCTTCGTGGATGCAAGAGGCAGGGGGAAGAAGGCCAATTACCAGAAACGGGAATACCCGGGTACATTATCACCATTTTATGGTACAGTTAGAAATCAACACGCTTGCACCCCCAGGCTGTCAGCTGATTGGCCGAACTACCATGGTACCCATTCCTGAAGAAGCCTTCATCGGGTACAACATCCGCTGGAATTAGGACCCTCTGGTGTGACCGATATTGGTTACTGGTGACCCGGAAGAGGTCGATTTTGTACCCAGAAATGGTGATGTGATCCCGGCGCCCGACGCTCTTCTAGCATAACACCCGCAGAAAAAAACGTGCACCGCACATACCGTGTACCGCACATACATAACCAAAACCAAACCACCAACAACGCTCGCGCGTTCATCGTTCATGGGCACCGCCTCTAGAGGATACCGGCCCCTCTCAACAGAGGATCGGACTCGCTTGACGCGCGAGTACTTCGGTGTGGTACTGATCAGTAAAAACACACGCAGAGAGAGAGAGGCACAGAGAGAGAGAAAAATGGGCACGACCTGCCTCGTGCATCATGCTTCCGAGGTACAGGACACAGGACACAGACAGCGGTTTATTGGGTTTCCGGCGATCTACGGCGGATGCTGTCGGAGATTGCTGCCGTGTTGATTCCCTAGTGCACCCTGAAATGGTGATAATCCACCCAGGAATACCCGTTTCTGGTTACTTCTCGGTGAAGAACATTGCTTTGTACGGACCATACGATGTGTGTACGCAGAGAAGTCTGCATCGAACGTCAACATCGTTGCTGTTCTTGTCGTGGAAGAAGCTCAAGGGTTCGAATAGTTTACAGCAGGTTGCTTATTGTTTGCGTATTCTCTGCACCGTTGATAAGACCAATACCACCGGGTTCATGTCGACTTCTTTTTTTTTGGCCCGTTTGGGGTTCATGCACGGCGTACGGCTCTCGTTACTCGGTAGATACATGCAGTAGACGACGTGGTGGAGTGGGGTGTCCTGCGCTGATGTACTTTGTCGTAGGAGAGAAGTATCCAGCAGGTTTCCCTCAAAACCGCTCTCTGAAACGCAACCATATTCGCACCCTCTCCGCAAGATACAGCAGAAAGCCGCTTGTGGTGGAGCAGTACCTTAGGTTGCGTTTGATACACGGCGATTGTGCTTCCAAACTTTTTGGTCCTAGTAGTTTCCGGATTTCCAATTTCCTTTTTTTTTTCCCCAGCCGCCAATCGAGGGTCAAACGGTCTACGGATTTGGAGAATTGGAAATTTGGAAGCGAACTAGCTGCTGCATCACTTACAGCCTCTGTGCAGCATCTGCCTTTGTATTGGGCGTTTTTTTTGTTTAGGGCATTGGCCCAGGGCGCATGGTCGCAATCTGCGGCACACACACGCATGGCATATACTTATTCGCCTTGAGAAGGCTGTGCCCCTCTGTCAAATCGAAAGCTCTGCACCGAACAGCACCAACAACCAAAAATCAGCCGAGAACGAAAAAAGCGGAGCGAAAAAAATATTCGCATGAAAGATTACGATGACGTCGCTCACTCGTCGGCCTTACATACCACCCCTCAGGTTGACATGGTCGAGGCCGAACAGCAGCTGCTGTTCTCGATATCCATGTACACCCCCCCCAAGGCCGCCCGCGTCGCCCGCGGCCGCAGCCGCAGGGCCCCCGACGGCGAGCAGGAGGGGGTTGTTGATGATGATGATAATGATGATGGCGGCGACGGGACTGTCATCGGGGGCAGGGTGGGCTTGGAGCATGAGGAGCAGCTCTCGCTGGAGGAGCGGCACGAGCGGATCTGTCGCTTTGTTTCCGTGGTTCACCGGTGAGAGACGAGAGAGTGAGAAAGTGAGAGACGAGCGAGTGAGAGAGTGGAAGACGAGAGAGTGAGAGAGTGGGAGGCGATAGGGTGAGAGAGTGAGGGACGAGAGGGTGAGAGAGCGAGAGACGAGAGGGTGATAGAATGAGAGACGAAAGGGTGAGAGAGTGAGAGACGCGGGCCAGGCGCTCTTCGTTCTTCCGACAATAGATACAGTAGCCCTTGTGTTTTGCTCGAGTTTTTGGTTGCAATTTTGTCTGGGGTGTTGTCTCGGCGGGGTATGGTCTTGTCAGTGATTGTGCTGTTTGGTTTGTATTGAAGGTACCAATTTTATCTCTTTCGGTGATTATGTTTTGTGTTTTGAATTGAACAAAACAGGTTAATCTCTGTCGGTGATTGTGTATATTTGTCGATTTATTCGCCCTAAATTTATCTGGAGACAGAAGAGTCCAGGGTAAGTTATAAAAGCTAATCTGCATGTTTTCATTTTGGTGTGTGTCTTCGGCCCTCTGACGCACTCTCCCATGTGCATTCAACATCGGATGCTCGCTTGTGTCAGTCATGCGTGCACGTGTCCTCTCCTCCCCCTTCTGCCTTCTGATACTTCTTCTGGTATGTTTCGTGCCTTTGGGTTGGCCGCGCTGCACACATGGCCACCACGCTTATCTCGGCCTGGCCCGCAGCACACATTTATGTACCTCACTAACTACCGTAGGTTGCATGATGTAAGATACCACACCCCACCGATTTTCAAAGCGCGAACACGCCACGAGGAAGATGATGCCCAAGTTTAAATAATACGTTTTCGGAAAGCTCTCGACGAGACAGTTCTAACGATGCCATGTCCACCACCATCACTGTATGTCCTGCCGAGTAGGTGAGCTTTGAAAATCGGTCCAGAGGGTGTGAAGTCTTGCCCAACGGTACCTTGACAACCCCAAGACCCCATCCCGGCAGAGCATATCTTCTATTATATACCAAGCATAACTGCGGCACCCCTCGCCTTGCCTCGCTATGCACAGCAGTACCTCTGTTTTTCGTCGTCGTAATACAAGGTATTCCTCAACCGCCCCTCTTGGACCCCCCCCCCCCCCC